GTAAGTTGCTTTATTCAGACTTCACTTTAACGCTCCAGTCAACCATTTTATCAGCAATTTCAAAAGGTTAAACTTTGATCACAGATTTACAATGAGTTTGGTTTGTCTTTTAGTGGCCTGCACACAGAGAATTGGGCCGTTAGCCAGATCTGTCTAATCAAAATCATTCAAAAGAAAATCAAAGGAAGTTCTGTATATTCTGTTCCAAATATGGGGAGAGTCTTTGCCAGTAATTTATGCGCTGAAATTTCCCTGCTACATGGCAGGCAGGTTAATTGGATCTTAACCCCTGATGCCAGGATAGCTTGTGAGGCTGCAACTTAGACTCAGCTGGTGCCTCAACGATCGAAACTGAAACATTTTCCCCTAATGTTCATTTTGCCCAAGATGACCCTCCAATCTTCTTCTTATTGATCAGCCCACTCAACTGCTCTTGATAAACCATCTCATTGGGTCTCTTGGACTTCATTTTTTTCGACTGCAACTGCAGTTCACTGGCAGCTGGTTAACACTATTTTGCCAGCTAGAAATGTACCCAAATACTTTATTTTACGCTAAATGTATGTGTCACGTGCAGAACCAAAGACCTGTATGCAGATACTGTACAAGACAGAACACATAGCCAAGCAGGCTCACAGTTGGTAATGGACCTGTCATAAACAGAAGGATCAGTTTCAGGTATGCAATGAGGTAAACTTTGGGGAGAATGCCAAGTACTGTATGTACAAAGAACTTGATGAATAGTAAGAAACAAATGTGCACGGCGATAGGTGATGAGCTGATGCAGCAGCTTGTTGCAGTGACTGAGCACAAAGTTTGAGTTTAAAGGCAACTTACAGTATTTATTTCCCATAAAACTGGCCACTTTGTTTAGTTTCCCCCTCACTAATTATGCAGCAACCTAAGTGGACCAGGACAAAAACATTGTGAGTGATATTTTCATCCTGTGCAGCAATTTGGTAAAATGAGAAATAAGGCAACTATAAGACTCTGGAAAGAATGATGGAGGGAAAGAGACCTACCATAGCTTTAATATACAAGACAATTATAGTGTATATTTGATATACACTCACCGGCCACTTTATTAGGTACACCTGTTCAACTGCTTGTTAACACAAATCGCTATTCAGCCAATCACATAGCAGCAACTCAATGCATTTAGACATGTAGACGTGGTCAAAACAACTTGCTGAAGTTCAAACCAGGCGTGGTGGTTGGTGCCAGGCAGGCTGGTCTATTTAGTATTTCAGACACTGCTGATCTACAGGGATTTTCACACACAACCATCTCTGGGCTTTACAGAGAATGGTCCAAAAAAGAGAAAATATCCAGTGAGCGGCAGTAGTGTGGACGAAAATGCCTTGTTGATGTCCGAGGTCAGAGGAGAATGGGCCGACTGGTTTGAGATGACAGAAACAGTAACTCAAATAACCTCTCGTTACATCCCGGGTATGCCGAATACCATCTCTGAACGCACAACATGTCGAATCTTGAAGCAGATGGGCTACAGCAGCAGAAGACCACAGCGGGTGCCACTCCTGTCAGCTAAGAACAGGAAAACCGAGGCTACAATTCTCACAGGCTCACCAAAATTGGACGATAGAAGATTGGAAAAACGTTGCCTGGTCTGATGAGTCTCGATTTCAGCTGCAACATTCAGATGGTAGGGTCAGAATTTGGCGTAAACAACATGAAAGCATGGATCCATCCTGCCTTGAATCAACGGTTCAGGCTGGTGGTGGTGGTCTAATGATGTGGGGGAGATTTTCTTGGCACACTTTGGGCCCCTAAGTACCAACTGAGCATCGTTTAAACCCGACAGCGTACCTGAGTATTGTTGCTGACCATGTCCATCCCTTAATGACCACAGTGTACCCGTCTTCTGATGGCTACTTCCAGCAGGATAATGCACCATGTCACAAAGCTCAAATCATCTCAAACTGATTTCTTGAACATGAACATTGATTCCAACGGCCTCCACAGTCACCAGATCTCAATCCAATAGAGCACCTTGGGATGTGGTGGAACAGGAGATTGATATCATGGATGTGCAGCTGACAAATCTGCAGCAACCATGTGATGCTATTATGTCTATATGGACCAGAGTTTCTGAGGAATGTTTCCAGCACCTTGTTGAAAGTATGCCCCGAAGAATTAAGGCAGGTGTGAAGGCAAAAGGAAGGTCCAACAAGGTGTATCTAATAAAGTGACCGGTGAGAGTATGTTGCTATAGTAAGATGTTTTTGCTGAGGTGTAGAAGGCAGTATTAGACATTAGTATGATCATAACTAATTGTAGACCTTTTTCTCTTTAACCATTCTGTGACAAAATCTGCATGGATTCAATCCCTTTCCATAGAAATAAAGACTATTCTAGCAAATCACCATAGCAACCTTTTCTACATCTGCCTACAATGTCATCTAGATTTAAATCTTGCCACTGTGGTTGACACGTTGCTTGCAATACCAATTGGTACACTTTCTTTCTTTCTTTCTTTTCCTCTTTATTTCTTTTTTTCTTTCTTATGCCAGATGTAAACAAGACATTAGTAAGGCAGTGTTAGTGCCTTGCTATAAGGCCACTGCTCTCTGTGACTTCCAGCTGTCACTCGCTCTTGTCACTCAAGTCACAGCAGGAAAAAACATCTCAGCGCTTCTGACATTAGTTATTAGTGTGTCTATAGCAACAGCCCAGAAAAAAGGGTGTGTTTGTGTGAATGTTACATTGGTGGTATTCAGACCATTGAAAGAGGGGACCTATACATGTTAGATGTGAAAAAGGAAATTATTCCCCTTTTTTATACTTCACTGGTCTACTCCTCATCATTGCCTTCCAGCTAAACTAGATATTAACTTAAAGGTGGAATTGTACTTCTTGTTCAGTGTTCAGTGGTTATACTTGTGCTGTAAATGGTATAGGCATTGTTTTCAACATAGGTTTTAAACTGTTCACTGACTCACTACAACACAATACATAAGTGATGCATTCAGTTAGAGATGTGACTTCATTATATACCAAAACATCTAAAGATTATTTTCATTATTGATTAATCTATCATTTATCATTTATTATAAATTTAAAACAAAATAATAATTAGTGCTGGGCAACGATTACAATTTTTAATTGCGATTTAAAAAATTGTTCTGCGATTAATCGCATAGCTAAGCGTATAATTGAATAATGAATTCCAAAGTAGTGTATTGCGCACTTTTAATTCAAATATACTGCTATACACAAAAGTGCAATAACATGAGGTTTACAAACACTTTAAACAAATAAGGTGCTTTTTAGCAGTATTCCCTTTACACAGTAGCAATAAAATATTTCTTGTAAATCTCAAATTAAACATTAATGTAATCAAAGCAAATATTAAACCAAAGCTGTTTGCCACTGCCAGGGCCTTAGCTTTTATCTAGCTTGTTAAAACAAGTTACCATCAGAGTCTAGAGCCACAATCATAACATCATAGTAGGCACCTTATGAGCTACAGGTTAACATATAAAAGTCTGTTTTCTTGTTTGTTTGTTTTTAACGGGTATCAGCAGAAACATTTTTCTTTTATCAGGGAGCAGCGTCAATAGTCTATGTTCAGTAGCAAGTGAGCCTGTGAGACTGAGGTGAAGTGGTCGCCTCACGCATATGCCCGCCCGCTGCCAAAGCTGAATTGTCTTGAACGTTTTGTATGTGGCGCATAGCACAAATCATTGGAAGACTGACTGATCCTCGCTGTTTGTGAATTTCCAGAGTCTATTACTGTTTACTAAATAGGACATCAACAGGAGGGAATTCACATGGCAGAGCATCCCCGCAAAACTAGATGTAGGCCTATCAGGTAAAGTTATGTAGCCTATAATTTTAACTTAAATTAAATAGGCAACAGCTGTGTAGCGCAAAGAAGCCATGGTTACTATCCATAGAGCACCTGCCGTTTACTCACGGAGCGCTTGTCTCCCTGTCTGATCACCTGAGAGAACCTGTGGAGTCGAGCGACTACTTTGTGATTTTAAGAAAGTTCCTAAGACCAACATTTTCCCCAATACTAATCAGCATGCAGTGTGTAGCTCTCCACTTCGCTGTGGCATTTGTCCGCTTGTCTTGCTTTTGTTTAGTCTGCTGAAGCCTCCCTCTGCTGCTTGTTTGGGTGGGTGATTTGCAGGCTGATCAACATCCAGCCCCTCCTGTGACCCATGGTTTGACCGTATGTGTATTCAGAGCCAGTGAGCAGCGGACTTTCCAAATAATAAAAATAAAAAAGTGCGTTGACTTGCGATAAAATAATTGTTGGCGTTAATTAACTAACGCGTTAACTTAAATTATTATTATTTAGAAAGTCGTTGCTCCCTGGCTCTGAATACACATACGGTCAAACCATGGGTCACAGGAGGGGCTGGATGTTGATCAGCCTACAAATCACCCACCCAAACAAGCAGCGGAGGGAGGCTTCAGCAGACTACGCTGTCATCTTTTTTTCCATATTTTTCCATCCGCGATCTATTATCACGGCAGCAGGTGAGCCGCAGCCTATCAAACAACTCCAACAGCCAAAACCAACATCTGCACCCTGTGTTCAATGTTGCTTTACGTTACCTGGTCTGTGCTTGTAAAATATCCACCGCGACTTGTAACGTCATTTCAAGTCTGTGCGAGTGAACACGCTACACTGTGTACTGTGTATATAGCAGTACATTTAAATAAAAATTGCGCAATACACTACTTTAGAATTCATTATTAAATTTTACGCGTAACAATGCGATTAATCGCAAGAAAATCATGCGATTCGCTTTGTGAGAAACATTTACACTTATACTTACTTTAACTTTATTTTGGATGCATAGGTCCCTATCAGTAAAAGAAAAAGGAAAAATAAAATACAAGGACAAACAGTACAGAAATATGTACGAGATCATGGCATTTCACATGTCCACAGTGATTAAAACACATACAGACGTATGTTTCAATGTTTCCAATGGAGTGGAGTACAGTCAGGCTTTAAAAAGAGC